AAAAAAAAGAAAAAAAAAAAACACCTGTAATTATCAATGCATCTTGATTGCATGTTTGATCAATTTCAGTCTGCAGAAGTTGGTAAAAATCTTCAATTTCTTTTTCTTTGGCATTAGTGTTTTGTGCATAAGTTTAAATAATAGTCTTATTAACTGGTCTTGCTTGTAGGCATATAGGCATATGGATATTATCCTATCACTGACAACACTGCACTGCAGGATAGCATTTGAACTGTTTTTTTTTTTTTTTTTTGATGATGAATGTGACTCCATTGCTCTTCCATATGTCATTCCCAGCATAGTAGAACATATTATTGTCTGATTCAAAATGGCCAAAACCAGTCAATTTCAGCTCGCTAATGCCTAGGATATTGATCTTGAAGCGTTCCATTTCATTTTTGATGACTTTCAATTTTCCTAGATTCATGCTTCATACATTCCATGTTCCGATTATTAGTGGATGTTTGCAGCTATTTCGTCTCAGTTTAAGTCATGACACATCAGCAAATAAAAGTTCCAAAATCTTGACTCCATTCACGTCATTACAGTCAACTCTACTTTGAGGAGGCAGCTCTTCCTCAGTCATATTTTGAGTGCCTTCCAACCTGAGAGGCTCATCTTCCAGCACTATATCAGACAAAGTTCCACTGCTATTCATAAGGTTTTCACGGGCCAGTTTTTTCAGAAGTAGATTGCCAAGTCCTCATTTCTATTCTGCTTTAGTCTGGAAGCTCCACTGAATTCTGTCAACCATGGGTGACCCTTCTGGTATTTCAAAAACAAGTGGCATAGCTTCTAGCATCATGGCACCACATAAGCCACCACAGTAAAACAAACTGACAAATGAGCAGTAGCAAGAAATGCTGAATCTCAGTATATTGCGACAGACACTGGGTATGGAACACTTTTTCAGAAATACTCAGAATTATTCAGGTATGTAATATGTAGCCAGAGTTGGAGCCCTCATGATGCAATGGTTAAGTGCTTAGCTGATAACCAAAAAGCCGGCAGTTCAAACCCACTAGCTGCTCCATGGGAGAAACATATGGCAGTCTGCTTCTGTAAAGATTATAGCCTTGGGAACCCTATGGGGGCAATTCTACCCTGTCCTATATAGATGCTATAAGTTGGAATAGATTCAGCTCAATGTGTTAGCCAATGTTGAGAAGCAGCTTTGGCGAATGATGTCTATTTCACATAAACTTTTGTTAGGATAATTTTGTTTCTATGTGCTTGGATAGCTGAAAAAATCACTCTGACCTAGGATCACAGAATGGAAGTAAAAGAAAAGGCAGAGCCAAACACCATGTAAATGACATCTGCATCATCTCCAGGCTCTCCCTGTGTGGCACAGGCCTCTCCCTTGGTTATGACATCCCACATACTCGTATTTGCTCCCTGACATGAGGTCTGTTCATTGGGAGGAAGAGATGTCATTTTTTTTCTTTGCACAGAATTTTTATGGCCTCATTCTCATACATCCTAGTGCTTTGGTTTATCTGCCCAGAGGGGGCACCTTTCTCTTTCTGCCACGACCCTTATGTAAGCTAATAAAACACCCTGAAACATCAACTGCTAAATGTAATTCCACAGAACAACAGTCTTTTCAGAAGCTGGTACATTAAGAAAATTAAAAAAAAAAATTTGGAGAAGCATCAATTGCATTTCTAAAACACAATGAGCTAGAAAATACCTAGATGACTTGACTGATGTTGAGGTGAAGGCTTACAAGTAATTGCACAGGAAAGGTTTCCAACATATTTAACAGGCACTTAAGCAGAGCAATCAGTGCAGAAATGTGCACTTTGCTAAATACAGGCTCCCAACATGGCTATAAAACCTTAACTAGTACCTATTCTTTATATACACCTGTTGTGATTAGGATTAAACTATATTTTAGTAATGCTCATTGATATGGTCTGTAAAGCTTTTTTTTATTACTATCTATTAACTTTGATATTTTACTGTTTACTGGATGTTTTACTTAGTAACATGTATTAACTCAATTCCCATAAGAAATACTGCCAAACAGTATGTATTTTCCCTTCTAAGAATATTTATAAGACATTGTCTTAGAGGGGAAAAAAAAAGCATTTCCTTTGGTAATAATTGCAAATAATACTGTTTTAATTATGTATATGAACTCATATATATTCTTAAATGAATTTTTACTTCATGTAAGTATTATTTGCACTGAAGTGGTGAATAAGAAGCAATCTAAAATGTGATTTATGATAGAAACACTTTAGGAGTTGAACTTGATGTTGCTTTAAAAGAAGTTCTTATTGCCTCTTATAGACAAATATCACTTTTTTTGGTGATTTTTTTTTCCATCTTCTGTTCCAGAAGCATGTTTTCAAGAAGTAGTCTACAATATTTTCTGAAGGATATGCTCAACCACTGTTTTAGATATATAAATCCATTCAATCAATTATTTTTCAACTAATTTGTACTGAGTCCTTATTATTTGACAGTCAGGAATTGTCCTTGGCTGGCTTAAGAGCACACATTTGCACTCCTAGCCTGGTTATTTTAACTACTAAAATGAACCATAATTACCACAAATTAATTCACTCGTGGATTCTTTATAAAACCCGTTTAAAAGTAATTAGTGAATGCTGCTTATTTTTGATGAGACTATTGTGTTGAAAAAAATAATCTAAATAGAAGCCACTTGAGCTGATTTTTCAGATATGAAAACATGAAAAATCCAGGTAGGATATTAAAACCTGAATTAGACTAATTTTTCTTTGGTGACACAGAACATCATAAGAGAACATAAATCACAGTGAAATATCACCTCATACCCACTAGAATGGCTGTAATAAAAAAGACATAATAGGAAGTGTTTGCTATGATGTGGAGAAATTGGACCCCTCATATACTATAAGTGGGAATGTAAAATGGTGTCACCATTTTGGAAAACAGTCTGGCACTTCCTCAATAGAGTTTCCTTACGATCCAGCACATATCCACACAAAAACTTGTACATCAAAGTTCATAGAGCATTATTTACAATAGGCAAAATGTGGAAACATCCCAAATGTTCATCAGATGAAGAACAGATGAATAATATCTGGTAAATCTACACAATGGGATTTTTTCACCAAATAAAGGAAATTAAGTACTGATGCATGCTACCACATAGATGAACTTGGAAAATGCTATACTAAGTGAAAGAAGCCAGTCACAAAGGACCACATATGGTATGATTCAATTTATATGGAATGTCCAGAATAAGCAAATCTATAGCGACAGAAAGATTAATGACTGGTAAGGTGCTGATAGAAGGTTGGAGATGTTAATTACAAGTTGTGGGAATACTAGAAATTCTTCTGCAGTAATTATAATGTTTAAAAATTGACAATGGTGATGAATGCAGAATTCTAAGTGAAAGTCATTTAATTGTACACTTCAAATGGGTGAACTGTATTCTATGTGAATTATACCTCAATGAAGCTATTAATAATTTTTTTTTAAGTTCTAGACCATCATGAGAAAAGAGAGAGAGAGAGAGAAGGAATAATGCCATGACAGAGCACTATTTTAGTGTTTTAAGTAGTCATACTTTTTACTATTTTATGATTATCTCATGAATACGTGGAAATTTTTCCAAAATGTGTATCTAATTTCTGCATGCAGTTCTAAACTGGGAGTAATTGGTAATCTGACTTATTTACTGATAAATAATGACTTTATTGTCATGACCATAGATCCATTTACTTATGAATTATATTCTAATTTCATTTAAACATGATCCTAACCACCTTTTTGAATTCTGAGATAATTATAGGTAGTCCCTGAATTATGATGTATTCAAGTTACAACAAATCACACTTCCAACTATTTTTTATACATCCTATTATTAATAATATGCATGTATGTATTAAAATATATCTGTAAGTTTATATGTAATGTTTCCAATCCCCAAATACAAATAAGATTAGATTTATAAAGATACTGATAATAAAAGGCAATAATAATGAAATCTAAACAAACAAAAAAAAAGGAAGTATTCAACTTATGTCAGAATTGACTTACAACCAAGTCATTTATATTTTTTGTGAATATAGATATTTACTAAAATATAATATTCTGGATGAAAATGGAACAATAGTCTTCCTTGGCTTCATATCATACTGTTCTCCTTCAGAATGCTCACAACTGTCTGCTAAAATTCCAATAGCTATTTTTTTGTACTAAAGTCTATGGTGGTGCACAGGTTAAGAGCTTGGCTGCTAACCGAAAGGTTGACAGTTCCAATCCACCAGCCACTCCTTGGAAACCCTAAGGAGCAGTTCTGTTGTGTTCTATTAGGGTCGCTATCAGTCAGAATCAACTCAATGGCAATGAGTTTTTCATTTTTTTAAAATACTTTTTATAAGTGTTAATTGAAGCTTGAGTAGTGGTGTTTTATTGATAAATTCACCAAGGGTAATTAAAGATTTTCACCTTTTCATTTAAACTACTGTATATAATGTACCCTTCTTCTAACTCCTTGATTCCTTGAGTAAGACATAGGCACATGGCAAAGCAAGTCCCACGATTAGAAGGAAGCAGAACAGCCTTGATTTAGGAATGGGACTAAGTGTTCTATGATGTCAATTTTCTGCCACTATACAGGGATTAAGGAGCTCTGGTGGTGAAGTGGTTAAGAGTTTAGGCTGCTAACAAAAAGGTTGGCAGTTTGAATCCTCCAGCTGTTCCTTGGAAGCCCTATGGGGCAGTTCTACTCTGGCCTATAGGGTCACTATGAGTTGGAGTTGGCTCGACGGCACACAACAAGAACAACATACAGGGATTAAAGTAAGGGGAATGATATAAGATTTATAGATGGAATCAGACAATGAGTAATTGTATCTTTTACACTCTCTTCACTATGTTAGACACTGGCATCAAAAATTATAATAGTGAGAGCTCTGTTCTCAAGGAAATCTCAGTATAAGTCTTCATAAGCAAGTGGCGTCTTTTATTATGATACATACGGTAAAGTGGTTTACCATTTTCTGAAGCAGCAACTGTGATGTTGTACCATGGAGTTTCTTCTCTGTCAAGAATCTTTGTAGTCTTAATGGTACCAGTATTGGCATCAATGTTGAAAAATCTATCATCTTCAGCATTGTAGTCAATGAAGTATCTAGAGAAAAAAATAGATAAAATTTCTTTGTACTTGATGCTATAGTGAAGAAAACAAAACTGAACCAAGGGAGGTATTTAGTTAAATATATAAATGTAAATGTACACTTTTAATTTCTATATTTGTCTCAATAAGAACTACATGGAACCAATATAGAACTCACCTCCGTTATTTTTTATCTGTCAGTCCTTAAAGATGAGCTCTATTATTAATTCAAAATATAAAACAAATTAAACAAAAAACTTTACCACATTACCTGAATAAAACTAGATAGTGGAAACATAGTGATTAATAAGTTAATGGAAAAAAAATAAAAAAACCTGCTGCTCACTGCCATTCGGAAGACTATTATATATTGAGAAAAAAAAAATTTAAACCTATCATAAAACGTCATATTGCTATGTGTGTAAAAAAATTTAGGACCACACAGGAGAGGTCAGAGATAAATTTACCTTGGATATTCATTATAGATGAGATTTAGAGATAAATATAAAAAGAAAAAAACAAAAACTTCAATTAATTACCATTGCATCTCTATTACCTAGCACACTTGTTTAGTCAAAGGATAAGAAAATAAATAAATGGAAGTTATTTTGCATATTACCACAATCTTCTCTCTCCAATTTATAAAACATTTCAGGGCTCACTTACATGAGGTTTCGATTGTGCATTACTTTGGCAGTAGAATGAGATGAAAGCAATGGATTCCCATTTCTTGCCTAGGTTCATGAGACTTAGTATATTTCCCCTGTGCTCTGCTACTGACACAAGATGCACATGCCTGGGGTAGTCCATTGGCCCCAGAAAAAGAATGAGAGATAGATGGAGCAGAGATGTCCTACTTAAGGTGCTTAAGCCTAGACCAGAGCTACCTAGACAATGTGTAAATGCATTTAGTACATCTACGATAAGCAGAGCTGCCAAAAGACAGCCTAGTTCAGCTGACCCTCAGCCGACTCACAGCCACATACACTATTGATTATAAATGAGTTTTTTTTTTTGGCAGCCTAAGTTTTGGGGTTCTATGTTATTCACCAAATTCACCAAATTCTGTCTTAGTTATCTAGTGCTGCTATAACAGAAATACCACAGATGGATGGCTTTAACAAACAGAAATTTATTCTCTCACAGTTTAGGAGACCAGAAGTCTGAATTCAGGGCACCAGCTCTTGGGGAAGGCTTTCTCTCTCTATCAGCTCACAATTTAAAGGAAGATCCTTGTCTCCTTTCAGCATCTGTAGGCCCAGAATCCCTTGGAGATCTCAATGTGTGTTGACATCAATCTTCCCCTGGGTCTAGGAGGTACTCAGGTCAGGGACCCTAAGTCCAAGGGACACGTACACTCTTGGCTCTTCTTTCTTAGTGATACTGAGATCCCTCTCTCTCCTCTATTCACTTCTCTCTCCTTTTATCTCTTGTAAAATAAAAGATGGTGCAGGCCACACCCCAGGGAAACCACCAAGAAGAACAACCAAGAAAGAAAAGCGGGAGTAGAGCACTTCCTTTGGGCCCAGGATCCCTGTGCTGATAACCTCCTAGACCCAGGGGAAGATTGATGCAAAGACACATGGAGATCTTCAAGAAACACCAGGCCCACAGATGTTGAATGGAGACAAGGACCTTCCTCCAGAGCTGACAGAGAGAGAAAGCCTTCTCCCACAGCCAGTACCCTAAATTCAGACTTCTAGTCACTTAAACTGTGAGAGAATATATTTCTCTTTGTTAAAGCCATCCACTTGTAGCATTTCTGTTACAGCAGCACTAGAAAACTAAGACATGAACCGCCAGAAGAATGAATACTTCTGTCCTGGTAGAAGTACAGCCAGAATGCTCCTTAGAAGCAAGGATGGCGAGACTTCATTTCACACACTTTAGACATGTTATCAAGAAGGACCAGTCCCTGGAGAAGAACTTCATGTTTAGTAAAGCAGAGGGTCAGTGAGAAAAAGGAAGACCCTCAACGAGATGGATTAACATAGTGGCTGCAACAATAGGCTCAAACATAGCAATAATTGTGAGGATGGCACAGGATCGGACAGTGTTTCGTTCTGTTGTACACAGTCAGTTTAAGTAGTAAGCAGCTCTATGGCACCATAACAACAATATTATTCAATAGTTAATTGCCATAAATATGAATAAATAATATAATGAGTAATCATTACAATTTGGATAATTGTTCTAGACTATTTAAGGAGAGAAACGTGTTCCCTCCATAATACTTCTTCCCTTTTCCTTAATCTCAAATTAAGCAACATATCATTTAGGCCTGAAACATTAAAATGAACTGATTTTGTGAAAAGTGCTGGAGGAAGAACATTTGAAAATGAGAGAAGCAAAGGGCAAAGGTTCAAAACAAAGAAAAGGCTTGACTTTGTCAATAAACAAACGTAAGTTAATGTGGATATATAGCATGAATGGGGTGGATGGCCGGGAGGTGGGTTATGCAAACCCTGCCTAAGGAAAAACAGTCAGTGAGAAAGCAAGGACTTTGACATATTAAGATTTAGATGTCATTTAAATGAACATATGGCATACAATGCAAAGAATTAGATATGGGTGTGATACTCAAGAGTGCTTTCTGAACAGAAAATATAAATTTGAGGTAAATGAGCATAACTTAAGGTAATGGGAACAGTACAATCACAAAGGAGATAGAATAGCAAGAGAAACAGAAGTCAAAAATTGAGCTCTGAAGCACGCCAACATTTTGAATTCTGAAGCGGACCAGCATCTGTGGAAGAAAGGTGCATCCCCAGAATCGAAAGAAGAGGAGCATCCCCAGGAAAGAGGAAAACTGTGAGAGTGAGAGGCTTGGAAACCAAGAGAGAAGAGTGTCTCAAGGAAGGAGTTGACTCCTGCAGTGAAATCTGCTAGGAGGGTGAGTGAGGTAAACCAGTTCCTGTTGAGTTGATTCTAACTCATGGCAATCCCGTGTGTGTTAGAGTAGAAATGTGCTACATAGGGGTTTCAGTGGCTGATTTTTTTTTTGGAAGCAAATCACAGATCTTTTTTTTCTGAGGGATGCTGAGTGAACTTGACCCTCCAACTTTTTGGTTAGCAGCTGAATGCTTGAACCATTTGCACCACCCAGGGTTTCCTGAGCGAGGTTAAGTAAGGGTTGAATGGATTTGGCAAGGTAGACATTGTTGAATAACTCAGCAAGAATAGTTTCAATAAAATAGCAAAGGATGAGAGTTTTATTAGAATGGATTTAAGAATATATTGAATGTAAACATGAATCATATGAGTTATGACAAATTATTGAATAGATTTTCTTGAGAACGAAGATAAGAGAAACGATGCTTTAGGTCAACAGTGGATTCAAGAAGAATTTTTTTCTAATGGTATGAGAGATATTAATCACTGTCTTTGCTGAAGAAAATGATAGTTTAAAAGAGGGAGGATATCTAAAGAAGTAAATCCCATGAGAAGGTGAGGATTGGGCTCCAGAACACAAATGTAGGGGTTTTCCATTGAAAGAAATAGAGACACTCCTTCCATTATACCCATTAAACTTGTTGGCACTGAGTCAATTCCAACTCATAAGGTTTCCAAGGAGCAGCTGGTAGATTTGAATTGCCAACCTTTTGGTTAGCAGCCAAGCTCTTAACCACTGCGGCACCAGGTCTCCCCTTACATTATAGCATGAAAAAAAGTTCAAAAGTTGAATAAAGGCATATATAAGTTATTGTGAAGTAAATATTACTAAATTCATCACACTTTCTAGAATAGAGTATAAGTGTAATTTCACTACAACTCATGCCTCTGACAAGACACAATGTGTTAACAGGGTATGTGGGAAATATTTTCAACTGTGAAATCTTAAAATATCCAGTGGTACAACTCCACAAACATGGCTGCTAAAGATATTAGTAGTACCATGAAGATTAAGACCACAGAGTATCCCAAGAACTCAAGGAGCTTATTTACAGAAAATAACATCTACAAGGGGCTCAAATATAGCTACTATTGTGAGCATGGTACAGGACAGCGCAATGTTTCCTTTTGTCGTCCATAGAGTCTCTATGAGTCAGAACTGACTTAACAGCACCTAACACCTAAAAGTGAGGCAAGATAAAACACTCTGATCAAAATGAGAAGTTGACTGCTGTGCATTGATGTTCTAACAACATCTATATGTGGCACATGAAAAAGGAATTTAAACAACAAACAGATATAGGTGTAAAGCAAAGCTTATTCAGAGAAGAGAAACGAAACCGACACACTACAGAGTAGTGGGAAAGAGATATGCCATTGGGCTTTCCCAAAGCATGATGCCATGTTAACTTGAAACTAAATTACTTTGTTTGACATGAGTCTATACCATAAAATAACCTGCTGATAATGTCCCTTTTCCTAGAGGTCTGATGCTAAGGACACAAACTGAACTGCTAGGGAGATGTGAGAAGTCTTGTCACAGGAAAAGGATAACATCCTTTAAAATATAAACAGTTGGCAATCTGGTTATTATATAATCTAAACTTAATTGATATTAACTTATTTTCGAGAACCTGTCCAATTTTGGTTAGTTACTTAGAAACAGACTTAGAAAGCAAGTCTCTTTCTGTATCTGAAACTTAGAGGACCTGAAATTGAAATATATTATTCAACCTCAAAGTTCAGGAAAGCTCTAATTACGTCACGATCAGTATACCCCTATGAAACATGGCAGAACAGGCCTCATTTTAGAAAACTAATCACCTCAAAACTGTCAGCTGGAGGGAAAATGGAGATTTCTTCTGTTTATAAATTAAATGAAGAATCTAAAAATACGCAGTGTCGTTATAAATAAAAGTTTCTTCTGTTTATAAACTAAATGAAGAATCTGAAACCATAAAGTGTTGTCATGAATAGTTTCTTCTGTTTATAACTAAATGAAGAATCGGAAAATGTGCAGTATCACTGTCAGAGCATCTCCTCTCCTTTAGAAATTTCACACTGGACTTCCTAACGTCAGTGCTAGCATCAGTGATTGGATACTTTTAGAGTAAGTATGCTTT